GGAGAAGTAATCAAAGATTTGAACACTCCAACATTGAGACAGAACTCGACCGCAACATAACTCTTTATATGCAATTGGTGTGGCGAGGATGATCATGATGGGCAAAATTGTAGGGCTATCGGCAAACCCCTTATGACGCTCTATTTATAGTGTTTATCACTCTCATATTCGATACATTTTCCTCTTCTATCAATACATCTTCAGTACTTTCTCTTATATTTCATATCTAAAGCATAACTATTTGATCAATGACCATGTAATAGACCTGGATTGTGTTTTTTTACTCTTTGATGCCTTATTGGTATATTATTTTTTAATGATTTTCATGGTACAAAGCCACTTAGGAGAATTCAGATCAAACATTGGATAACTCTGGAGGACAAAAGAGATATGAAGAGAAGCCTACTATTGGTGCTTGAAAACAAAGAGGTATTGGATTGAAGAAGATTCCCTTGAAAATTTTGGATGTTGGTGCCACCCCAAATATAAGTGTTAATATAGGGATTATTACCTCCCCAAGCATTGGCAATGAAGTTAACTTGTTCTTGGGGTGTGTTCTCCTCCATCATAGCTTGACAATCATATCGGGAATGGTTTGGGCTTTGACACCATTCACATATATTAACATGAGCCTTTGGTCGGCTACTTGATGGAGCTTTCGTGTTCTTCACCATCTTCATAAAATCATCAATCTTCTCTTCGAGCAAAACACGAGATTCAACCGAGTGTGTGCCTTTCTCCATTGAATTCCTTCTTTTTATACTGACTTCACAATCATATCCACGAGCCACCATCACCTCAAACAATTGTTTCATTTCAGGAGTAGTCACATTAAGCATATCTCCTTGGCAAATGGAGTAGATAAGCATGCAGTCTCCTTGGAAGAGTCCATTGTAGAAGGTACTAACCTTGAATTGGTCATTGAATCCATGTTGAGGACATTGTAGGAACAACCCGATGTATCTCTCTCGAGCATCTCTAAGAGTTTCATCTTCTTGGGCGGAGTGAGTGATGGCTTTATGAAGCTCGAGCACCTTGGATGTGGAAAAGTAACGGGCCATGAATTTCTCCATTAAATTCGTCTAAGAATTGATATAGAGAGGTGTTTGGTCGTTGAGCCACATTTGTGCTCATCTACTCAAGGAACAGAGAAAGAATCTCAATCACAGTGCATCTTGTGGTACTCCATTCACCTTGCTCCCATCTGTGAACCCCAAGAAGCGGTTGATATGATCTCTTGGATGTTGTTTTGAATCATCAAGATGGCACTCGTCTTGATCTTGAAATTGGTTGCCGCAATAGGGGATGCTGGATTCTTGGTCATATGTCATCTCTGACTCACACGATTGTTGTTGTTCTTCTCCATTTCTTCAACTTCAACTCCTACTTTCGGAGGGTTGTGTGTTTCTAACCTCTCCCGAGCTTCTCTAAGCTCTCTTTCTGTGCAAGGAGTCGAAGGTCATGGTTGATGTTGTGGTCTAACGGTTGCAAGTTCTCCGAATTACTCCGGGTCATAAAATACCAGTATCACACCTTAATCAACAAAATCGTGAAAAGAAAAAGATAAAACGAAACAAAGGTGAAAAAAATAATAATAGTTCAAGTAACAATTTTTCACTTTTCTTAATAACTAAGTTGTGTCCCCTACAATGACGCCAAAAAATTGACTCGATACCAATTACTCTCCCAATCAAAGGCCAAGTATAACTATCGATTAGGTGTATTACAATGTAAGTACGTTTAATTTATCAAACCGGGCATTAAGTCTACGATTACTAGGCGAACTTTCGTTATCTAGCTAATAAGATGTATTTTGGATAAACTAAATAACTAAAGCAACTCAAGAATGATTCGACTTCAATTAAAAGAAGATTACTCGGGTGTGCTTCTCCTAGCCCTAAGTTAGGTCGATGTTGACTTCCCCTAGCTTGACCACTCTATATTTATGCATCAGAGAGCTCTGAACTAGTTTGGACTCCCTTTTCGAGTTATCCAAGCCCACTTAAATGATCTACTCAAAGGTAGAGTTTCCAAAATCGATATAAAACATCTAAGGCATGCAATTCGACTCCCACTAAAGGATATCAATCCAATACGACATTATAGACCAACATCACACTCGTTTAATTGACTCATAATGAAGAATAGAAGATTCTCTAATAAACCTAATTGAATATTCACTTCCTTAGGTTGATAGCTCAAATTGGAGAGTGTGATCGATACTCAATCAATTTCATGATAATACCTCAATCCAATGTATAATAGAGAGTAAAATAAGCATATGAGTCATAAACATCAAACCCTAACATACTTGGCTAGAAATCTACACACCCAGGTGAAAATGGAGTCTACTCCATAGTGAGAGAAAGAGATGAAATAAAAAACTCAAGAAAGAGAAAATCCTCTTGCGGGAATGTGTTGTTCTTCTTGAGTTCCAATCTTCACTCCTTGATGAAGAAAATCCTCTTGTGGGAATGTCAACTAGAAATGCACCGTATCACTTACACAAGTCACAACCGCTTCTGTAAATGGTACAATTGAAACCTTGACTTCTGCAATGCATCCGACATGTTGATTAGCTCCGGAAAACTTGTTGAATCTCACAAACTCTTCTGTAAATGTCACGATCTGGCCATGGCATTGGTGCTCTGAACTATGGCATCTGCAACTTCTTGTCTTTGTCCCATTTTTGACTCCAAATGGCCCAACAATCGTTCCTTAGCCATATTCACCTGCTAGGATCTTAAATATAGTAAACCAAGCACAACCTAGCATGAAACATGCTAAAGAATGACAAATATTAAAACAAACGATCAAGGATTGAGGGTCTTAACATGTATAGTTAAGCTCTAATCAACAATTCAGAACTAGAGTCCCTATATTATGTAAGATTCTCAGCCAATACGAACCAATGAATCGACTCACTCTCGCATAATCGATCCCCTACTTTCAATCAATGGTGCTCTATTGACTTAATCAGGTATTCCCTCTCCCAGGTTAAAGCCGAATCAATAATCTTGATTAAACTAGAATTGAACCATAAAACATGCATAGATTGAATATGAACTCGAGTTTAACAAATAAAGTACACATACAAAAATAAAATAAAATAAAATAAAACATTACTAGGGTTCCTCAAACCTGAGTGAAGGGAACTTACTCCATAAAGGGGAGTGAGAATACATAAAAGAGGATGATTTCCTTTATGATGGTGAAAATATGCTCTTGATCTTCAATATCCACTTCTAAACTTGTTTCTTGAGCTCCAATATGGTAGAAATCACTCAATTTCACACTCAAGACTATCTAGTGTCATTCTTCCTCTCTAGGGTTCATCTCTGGGGTGTTTGGGATCCTAAAACCCTCCTCTCCCCTTCAGAACTCGCAGAAAATCCCTTGTATACCTGACAATGGCAAAAGCATGACCATAAATCGCCATGCATTTAAGGTTTCCTCCTGTGCATTGTCAAAATTCACTGTCTCACTCATGGTGTCTCCATAAAAAATTGGGGAAAAAGCACCCCCTGTGCTTTTGCCTTGTCAACTGTGTTTTTAAAAAAAAAAAAAAACTCGTGCTTTTGTCTTGTCAGCCCATGCTTTTGGGCAGAACATCTTGAATGGTTGCATGGGCTAAGATTTGATTCTCACGGTCGCGTTTTTCAATTCCATAGTTGTGAGAATCATTGCGGGCTTTCTTTTGCTCCTTTTTTTTTAATCTCTAAATGCCACGAAACTCGCTCCCAAGCCTCCACCTTACTCTAGGACCTGAAATATGATAAAAGAACACAACCTAGCATAAAACAACCGAAGGATAAGGCGTTTCCAAGATAAAATGTCAAAACGATCAAGAGACAAACCGTGGTTTGCTGGAGTTGGGGGAGGTTTGCGGGAGGAGGTGGGAGGAAGCTGCAGTAGTGGATTTGGAGGAAGGAGGAAGAAGGTTAGATCGTGTCAAATAGAGAAGAAGATAAAGGGTTGGGTTGACTTTAATGATGTGGTAGGTTTTGATGATGTGATGGGTCGCATTTTTATTTTTGTTGGGTTAATTCCGGCTGATTAGGTGATTCTCTTTGTCACGTCCGTACTTAACGAACTCAATTAACGGAGTTGGACGAACTAACGGGGAGTGACCAAACATGACATATTTTACTAAATTTAGTGACTATTATTAATATTAATTTTTTTCAATGAGTAACTCAGTTACCAACTTACCCTCCAAATAATCCCTTCCCCAACCCACGTCCGCCGCCCTCACCGGAAAAAGAATCGTCCCCTCCCCTCCTCTGCGCCCTGCCCCAAACCCAATTTGCTGTCGCTGCTGCTACTCGAGCGCCGGCGGGAAGGTACTATGATCATTGTTTTAACAATCCCTAATTATATTAAATTTACTTTAATGTGTTGGTGCTGCAAAATCCTTTTCAACACCTGATACTACAAACAAGCATTGATAGAGACACAATTCTGAGATTTTCTATTAATTCACTATGCTAAACAGTGGGTTCCTTTTGTTCTATAAATTCCTCCATAGCCGCAACAAATGGAAGCTCCAAACTTTTTTTCAGAAACCATTCTCGAGGGTCAATAACCCATTCCAACAACCAGGTACTGAATCCACTAAATTGAAGCAGTTCAAACAGTTCCATGCTTCGGGGAAAAGCCCCGATTCATTTCTCGCGGTTAAAACCACAGTTCCTTCTCCGATCTCGTGGCAGAAATTGAGACCGATCGAACTTCCGGTCTCTCTCTCTAACCCTCTCACCACCGATTCTTGGATTATCGGTGGATGTTCGAATTCCGCTGGTTTAGGGGTTAGAGATTGAAATTGGAAATAGGGGTACAAATGTCAATGTATTATGATTTAGGGCGAAAAAATTTAAATTTCACGACGACGAATAGCAATGTCCGTTTTTGGTTAGGGATAGAATTGAAATTGGGTTGAGGGTAAATATGTCAATTTATTTCATTTTAGGACTATAAAATTTAAAATTTAGGGTGACGAATAGCGATTTAGTAAAACATGCTATTCTAATTAAAATCAAGAAGATAAAAGCGGATTGAAAAAGATAGGCAGCAAAATTTATTCTCGCTACCGGGCCATATTGGGCCGGAGCGACCTTAATAAACGTTGAGATGAAAAGGCCACGTGTGTTTCCAAGCAGTTGTTAACCGGGGGAGCAAATTCGGCGTCAACCTAGATAGACTACCAACACTCGGTAAATGTGAGGGTTGCTAGCTAGACCGGGACTCAATCGCGCTACCAGGTCCGTCTATTCCAAAATGGAGACGACAACCCGGCAGGACCCGAAAGCGGAATCGACCCGCCCAGATGAACCAGAGTTCGATCTCTACACCATTCCCAGCTACTCCAGTAAGTTCCCGCCCTCGCCCTCTTTTCGCGGCCCCGCTGTTTGCTTACCAATTTATCGCTCGCTCGCTCGCTCGCTCAATTTTCTCTTTTCCCATCCCTTCTGTACTGTTTCTCTTTGAGGTTGGTTTCGATGGAACGACATCCACGAGACGGAGAGAGCCGCAATGAGAGACTTCTTCGATGGAAGCTCGGTAACCAGGAGTCCCAAAATCTACAAGGAGTACCGCGATTTCATGATCAACAGGTACCGCGAGGATCCATCCACCAGGCTCACCTTCACGGAGGTTCGCAAGTCCCTCGTCGGCGACGTCAGCCTGCTCAATAAGGTCTTCCAGTTCTTGAACCAGTGGGGATTGATCAACTTCGGTGCGGATTCGGCTCGATTTGAGTCGGAGAACGAGTACAAGGACGAAGTTAGGGTTGAGGATGGCCCTCCCAACGGCATTCGTGTTGTTGCTGACCCTAATTCGTCCAAACCGTTCCCAGCATCGCACGCCGGGGCCCCTCTTGCCGCTGATGTCCGCGGCGGGAACCGCTCGAAGCTGTCGCCATTGGCGTCCTACTCTGACGTTTTTGGTGAGTTGGGTAAGCGCAAGGGAATTTTGTGTGCGAGTTGCGGTGGAAATTGTGAGTCCGGCCGATATCAGCACGATAAGGTACTTGGGCTTTGGTAATCTTTCGAAATGTAGCTCCATCACGGCCTAGTGTTTGAAATCACATTTCATTTAAATGTCCATTAGTTACATGCAGTTGAATTTGCCTCCTGCTTTCTGCTCTTCTCGAATGCGTTGCTTGAGTGGAACGTCTGATCAATAAATAGCATAGACAGACCTGTGGTTTGAAGTGTTCGGCTTTCAGTACTTTTTAACTCCGTGATGGAGAGCATCTTATTTATTTGAATTGTTTGCAGGATAGCTATGTTCTCTGTGTCAAATGCTTCAAAGATGGAAAGTATGGAAACAAGTCTGTTGATGATTTCAAGCTTCATGGCAGCAGTGTCAGTGACGGTAAGCAAAGGGATGCCTGGACAGAGGCTGAGACTTTACTTCTCTTAGAGTCTGTTTCGAGGCATGGAGATGACTGGGACATAGTCGCTCAAACTGTGAAATCCAAGACTAAACTGGAATGTATTTCCAAGCTTATTGAGCTACCTTTTGGAGAGTTTATTTCAAGTTACAATCTTGGAAAGGACCCTGCCAGTGGACTAAGCGGGAATGGAGACGGTGGAAAAGATGTCTTTCCATCTCTACCAGAGCAACAAGATATGATCAAATCTGAAAATGTAATGTCCCAGCAGGCTAATGGTAATGAGCAGAGAGGAGATGATGCTGACAAAGTCCCCCCTCTGAAGAAACAGTGTGTTTCTTATTCTTCAGGATCTGGAATCTCCATCATGAGACAGGTATGTTATACAGATCAATACTTAAATTTAACAATCAAATAAATAATTTACCAGCTTTTCATCATGGTGCTAGGAAACTGTTTTGGGCATCAAGTTTGTTGCTACTATCTAGCTTTTGACTAGCTGGCAAAAATTCAGGAAATAGTTTATCTATACAGTACAACTTTTGAATTTTCCTTTATTTCAAGATTGATATCTTGATCTTAAAATGGTTTCTTGCTCTAATGAGTCAATATCTTTTGGAAATTAGCTTCACATGCTGATAGCTACACCTATGCATTCCAAAGTGGAGTGCACCTATCTCTCTACATAGGTATTACGTAACCAGATGATTCTTTCGGACATTATGGTGAAAGAATGCTTCTGTGAAATGATATTTTGATGGAACTAGATGCCATCAAATAAATTCCTCGGTCTGTGGAACATTTTGTGCTCCATCTTGATGCAAGGGTATTGGTTATGTGTTCTTGTGAAGTGTATCTGGAAAAGTTTGATTGTCAAAAATTCTATTAGGGGAACAATGTGGTTTAGAGCCTATCGGAGGATTATGGCATGATTAAATAGATGAGTCCTGTCTTATGACACTGGTGTTTAATACGTTTGTGGGTCTGAATAATATGTTGCTAGCCTGCACGTTCCAATTTCTTTAAATCATATCAGATGCATATGCTGTATTGTTCCTATATCAGCCTTGATGTTGACAAATGCTTTTAATTAGATCGCTCGCATCTCAAGCATGGTCGGGGATGACATCACTGCCACTGCAGCTAAGGCTGCTTTTGCAGCACTTTGTGATGAAGCCTCTTGTCCAAGTGACTCATTCAATAATGAGGAAGACTTTGCTAATGAATTGTGGCCTGCCATGGACCAGTCTGTGTCAGAGAGGTGGCTTATTTGTGCTGAATACAATTACGCATGCTTGGACTGATTGTGTTGCTTGTTTACTCTAGCAACATTTTGAAGTTTTTTCCTCAATTTCTTTGTTTTAGGGCGCATAAGGATGAAGATATAGAGCAGGGAGGGGATGTACAATCAGGTAAATTGGGAGTTAACTTCAAACTCTCAGATTGTTGTGCTGGGTGATATTTACTATAACATGTGAATTATACATATTGTCTTCTGTTGATACTTTTGATGTATTTGAGTGCATTTGAAATTACACATGCAATCTGAAATACATCAAAATGATGTAATCGGAAATAGTTGGGGTAGGAAGTATGTGTACAAAAGTAAGTCCAACATGTTACTTCCCTCAGTTTTCCGGGACAAGTTCATGCATGAATATAGCAAACCAAACAACGTTTTGCAAATGCATATTATATGGTAGAATGTAATAAAGACAAATAACATCAACTGACAAATATACGGATTTTAGCACAACCATGGATCTGACAAGGGGAAGGATCTGGTTTTGTCAATGTTATCACACCCGTTTCACTGTCTACATTTTTGCTTGCGGTTTTGGATTCTCCATTCTCTTGTTAAAGCCTGTTTAGGCAAATGCTTGACCTTGTCAATTCTGATGTTTTCCTAATGTCCTGGTATATTCCTCAGAAGATCGGGAGACAAACTTATCCCAGAATAATGTACCGTTAACTTTGAGGCTTCGAGCTACAGTTGCAGCTGCACTTGGGGCAGCTTCTGCTCATGCCAAATTATTGGCCAATGAGGAAGACCGGGAGATTGAAACTTTAGTTGGAACCATCATTGAGACACAGGTACTGCAAGGGGGAGACCTTATCCTGCATCCATTTTTTTCCTACTTTTCATTAAAAGCTTCTAATCTGTCCGTTTTTTCACTGAATCTTGAACATTAGTTGAAGAAACTGCAGTGTAAGACGATGGATTTGGATGAATTGGAGGTGATTATGGAGAAAGAATATGGAGAACTAGAAGAATTGAAGCGATCTTTAGCTGAGCAGCGAGTTGACATCTTAGCCAGAAGAGTTAGAGCTGGCATATCGAAAGCGGGAGCTTATACGTTTGTGAAAACTCAGAATGCAACCTTGCCCTGATGACCCTGTAGCTGAATCTAAATCTAGAGAAAAATTGTGGATAGAGTTGCAGGACTAGTTGTTGGTTGTTCTATTGTACATCAGGAGATAGCCTGTCGCTTGGTTCTGGTAGGAGCCGTCTGTTTGTGCGCTTCTCCCATCTCAGCTGATTGTTTCATTTCTTGTATCCCCCAGTGGTAGAGGACTTGTAGTCGTTTAGCTTCTGGGGCAGGTTGTATGAGGTCGTTTAGCATGTTAAATGGGTGATGTTGGTTAGGGGTGTGTAACGGTCCGGATCAAACCGATGCTTGGACCGGGCTGCATTGAACCAAGTATGATATGAACTGTTTTTTTGTCTTGTGAATTTTATAAATACTAAAAAAAAAATTGAATATCATTTGAATCTAAAGGTGCTATTGGCGCCGACGGCTTTTGATCGTAGTTCAGATAATGTTTCAGGAGGAAGGGCAAGCACAACACAACAAAGGGACTTTTCCACTTGGCTGGCGGTCCTTATCCGATCCATTGGAGATCAAAGCTCACCGGCACGGGCAGATGCAATCTTAGACCATTTCTGTAGTAGAAAATTGTTCCGAAAAGGGAAAAGGAGACGATATATATATTAATTATTTCTCAGATGGTGCGTGGGGAAGAAGCTCGGAAACAATACGTGCAGAAGCAACCAAACAAGAACTATATGAATAAGCAGCAAACCAAATTGTCAAAAAGAACCAATTCGAACTTGGATTAAACAACAGAACTTGTCTTAGTACTACATGTTCAATGACAACTAACGAACACAAGAAGCCTCTACGAAACTTCATTAATTATGCTCAGCATTTTTAGTATTTCGTTCTTCCATCACCCTCAGTGATCACATCTTTGAATGAACCGCCACTCGGAATCATGGGCAGAACATGCTCCTGATGAGGCACAATCACATCCAACAAGTAAGGTCCCGGTGTGTCCAGCATTTTTTGTATTGCCGCTCTGAGATCTGCAATTCTTGTTACCCGCGATGCAGGAATTCCGCAAGCTTCAGCAAACTTCAACATGTTGGGGAATATCTCGGATTCCCTCGACGGGTCACCTAGATATGTATGAGCTCTGTTAGCTTTATAGAACCGATCTTCCCACTGTACAACCATACCCAGGTGCTGATTGTTCAGAAGCATGATCTTCACTGGCAAATTCTCCACTCGAATTGTAGCCAACTCTTGCACATTCATTATAAAGCTTCCGTCACCATCAATATCCACGACAACAGCACCTGGATTGGCAACAGCAGCACCCATAGCAGCAGGCAAACCGAAACCCATCGCTCCAAGTCCAGCAGAAGTCAACCACTGCCGTGGTTTCTTGTACTTGTAGTGCTGAGCAGCCCACATCTGATGCTGACCAACCCCTGTGCTAATTATTGCTTCCCCATTAGTTAATTCATCAAGAACCTGGATGGCATGCTGCGGTGGAATCGCTTCTCCAAATGTCTTGTATGTCAATGGATACTTCATTTTCTGTTCATTCAACTCCTCTCTCCAGGCCTTGAAATCCAGCTTACTCTTAGAGTCCTTGCTTTCCAAGAGCTCATTAATACCCTGCAATGCTAACTTCACATCTCCACACACCGACGCGTGAGGCTGCTTATTCTTACCAATCTCAGCTGGATCGATATCAATGTGAACAATCTTGGCTCTGCTTGCAAAAGCTTCGAGCTTCCCTGTCACGCGATCATCAAACCTCACTCCAAAAGCAAGCAGCAAATCACTGTGTTCCACCGCATAATTTGCATAGACAGTTCCATGCATCCCAAGCATTGACAATGACAGCTCATCCGAGACAGGGAAAGCTCCAAGCCCCATTAAAGTGCTGGCCACAGGAATCCCAGTTAGCTCAACGAACTTGCTCAACTCTTGGCTCGAATTCAAACACCCTCCTCCCACGTACAACACAGGCTTCTTGGACTCTGAAATGAACCTAGTAATGACCTCCAAATTCGACTGGCAAGGCGGCTTAGGCAACCTAGCCAAGTAACCAGGCAACTTCATCTCACATTCCCAGTCAGGAACAGCTAACTGCTGCTGAATATCCTTAGGAATGTCAATCAAAACGGGGCCAGGGCGGCCAGAAGTAGCCAAATGGAACGCCTCTTTCACAACCCTAGGAATGTCATCCACATCGAGAACCAGATAATTGTGCTTGGTAATGGATCGAGTTACCTCAACAATCGGAGTCTCCTGAAAGGCGTCGGTTCCAATCATGCGGCGTGGCACCTGGCCGGTAATGGCGACGAGTGGGACACTGTCGAGGAGCGCGTCGGCGAGGCCGCTGACGAGATTGGTGGCCCCGGGGCCGGAGGTGGCGATACAGACGCCAGGCTTGCCGGAGGAACGAGCGTAGCCTTCGGCGGCGAAAACTCCGCCTTGCTCGTGGCGAGGAAGGACGTTTCGGATGGTTCTGGAGCGAGTGAGAGCCTGGTGGATCTCCATGGAAGCACCGCCCGGGTAGGCGAACACATCGGTGACTCCCTCGCGCTCGAGAGCTTCCACGAGGATGTCGGCACCCTTCCGGGGCTCGTCGGGGGAAAATCTAGGGATCGAATGCGAAGAATCTATGGTGATGACGGAGGGAGAAGCCGCAGCGGTGGATTTCGAGTTGGTGGAGCAGGAGATTTGGAGTGATTGGCGAGGAGATGGACGGAGGGAGAAAGAGAATGACGGACGGAGGATGGAGAGAGGAGATCTGGTGGTGGAGGAAGCAGTGGAGAAGGCGGAGGAGGGATTGGGGATTGCGGCGGAGGAGGCGGAGGCGGAGGCGGCGGCCATTGTTGACATGCAGAAGATGGGTACCAATGCTAATGCCTAATGGATGTTTGCAGGAAGGAAGAGGGAAGGCGGCGGGGCGAAGGATGGAAGATGGGTTAATGAGTTCGAAGAAGACATAAAGAAAGAAGGATAGGGACTGAAATGACTAGAAAGGGCTTAGGTTTGTGTTTATGTAGGAGGGTAGGGATGTAAAGATAAACGAGGTGCGGACAGGATTCCTCCACAGCTACGGTCGCTGTCGTTGGCCGTTGGCAAACAGTGGGAATGCAGTGAGTGGTAGTGAGTCTAGTGACTACAAATTACTAAGTGGGCTAAATTATACACTCGAATGTAATTACATGAATATTTTGATAATATCTAAAATCGATCTGAAATTTAGCGCAAGTGTTAGTTCTGACCCTATTTTTCAAATAAGATATTTGTGACCTACTTTTGAAACTATTGGACAAATTTGGCCCAAAATTTTCTTTGACCGTTAATATTGACGATCAAACACTATTTTGTCATTGACTTACAAAAAACAACAAAGTGGCATACCACGTCATTAAATAAGATTATTTTAATTTTGTAATTCAATTAAAATACAAATTAAAAAAAATCCCCACCCTCTCCCACTTCTCCTTCATGCCACCCACTCTTTTCCTTATTTCCCCCTATTTTCTCTGTTTCTCTCCACCATTTTCACTGTCCAACTTCTCTTCTTCTCTTTTCCCAAACCAAAATCCAACACAGAACATAACAACTGGATTTTCCTTGAAACTAATCTCACTTTAATTCGACCCTAAGTTTCCTCTATTCAAACCCCAGATACCATAACAAAAACTCCACTCAACAACAGGGCAAATTGGGTCTATTTCAGGACAAAAAAATGTTGTTCGTTTCCCCTTCTAGTTATCATTAGGACATCCAATCCTGTGTGGAGTCTGCCAGGTTGGTCGACAAACCCCCAACAAGAATGCTGGTGGGTTTAGCTTCCTACAATGCATGGCCGCGAAAGAAACCAGAGAAATTAACAGAGACCAAGAAGCATCTACTTTGGCCCCAAGTAGTAGCAACAACAACAACAACGTAATGAGGTGCTCTGCCTCCGCGTTCAGCAAAACAGAGTCTCGAAATGAGCACCAAGAGCCTGGTCAGCGAGATCAGAAGTGATGATCGCGGCAGCGACGACGATAAGTTGTTGTTGCTACCGTCGCTGCTCTCTACTGCGTTGGTTGCAGATAGCTGCAGCTGTGTAGAGCAAGAGGATTTGGGGGAGACTAGTGTTAGTATTAATAGCAAAGCAGCAGCGAGGCAGAGAGTGAGAAATATGGGGAGAATTAGGAGAGGAAGGAAGCTTACATTGCCGCCTCCCATGTCTTCAATTGGGGGATCCACCGGAATCCAAATGCGGTCTCGTCGGGAAGATGGCAGGCTTGTGGTTAACCATGGTTGGAGGGATTCCTCCAGACGAGCATTCTTCAAGTGCCGCCATTGAATTCCTCCTTCATGCTGTATCGATGATGTTGATTTAGGTTAGAGTTTGGATTTGGGATAATAAGAGGGGGATTTTCTTAATTTGTTAACTTTTATTTTAATTGAATTACAAAATTAACTTAATTTATTAATATTATTTAATGATGTGGCATGCCACATAAACTATTTTTTGATGAGTTACTAACGGAATAGTGTTTGGCCGTTAATATTAACGGTTAAAGAAATTTTTGGGCCAAAATTGTTCAATAGTTTCAAAAATATGCCATATATGTCTTATTTGAAAAATGAGGCCATAACTATCACTTAAGCAAAACTTCGGGCCAAACTAGGGTATTTACCCTAAATCTTTCACGTTTCCTACTCGAATCATTTTTCTTTCTTATTTGTCACTGATTTTATGAACCGTTTCATTATTACTCACCGATCGTCAGTCTCCCTTAATTTTTTGATGATGTGACAAGCGATAGACTCGACCATGACTTGTCCAAAAATAAAATAAAATTAAAAATAATTAATTAACCACCGCAGACTCGCCACTACTGCAAACTCCCCATTGCTAGCAAACTCTTCCCTTGCTTTATCATCAACCTCCGACAAACACTCACAACCTCGTTCCCCTCTCCCCCACCGCGTAATAAGCAAAGACTAAACTCCACATTCAAATTGATGCCAATCACACAGTTTATGCAAAGACAAATCCGTTTCTGATTCTACCTCAGGACGCGCCAACGAGCTGACGACCACCGGGGATTCGAGAGCCCGAGCTCCTCCAACGCTCTCGCTTCCCCTCGCTTGCGCTTCTTCCTATAACACCCTATGAGGTGAGATAGTCCATCTTCTTTGACAAATGACCGAGCGATTACGATTCTGGTTTCCCTAGAGAGATTTCAGAGTTGAGCACGCTAATCACTTGCCTGATCAATGATCGTTTCGCCTCGTTCGGATGGCAGTACCACTACCCCACAATCATCAATTTCTCCCGATCGAACTTCTCATCGCCGACGCCAGCCTCAAGTCCACCGCTTCAAGAATATGATCGTTTTCGTACAAACCCCAAACCCATTCCATTAGCATAACTTTCCTCAAGTCCTCTCGCTTCACAAATTGGGATCCTAGCCTCCTCCCGCACGCTATTTCCATGAGCCACCACTCCGAAGCTATAGACGTCTGATTCCTTGTTGGGCCTCCCTGTCATGACACACTTAGGGGCTAAATACCCCATCGTCCCTGCCAGAACCATCGTGTGCGAACCCAATTCGTGGTCCACCAGCATCGTTAGAGCAAAGATGTTGAATCCATTGTTGCGGAGGCGGAGAAGTCCACGGCTGAAGCAGCTCGCGAGGCGCAGAGCGAGAGGACGAGTATGCGGTGGTTAATTAATTATTTTTTGCTTATTTTAAATTGATGTGTTACTAAGTTAACGGTAAAGTCAACAGTACCGTTTGGCACGATAAAAAAATTAACAGAGTTAACAGAGACTAGCGGCCGGTGACTAACAGTGAAACAATTTGTAAATTTAGTGACTAATAAGAAAGAAAAAGTAATTCGAGTGGCAAACGTGAAAGATTTATCTAATTTGAGTGGCCAAACATTTAATTTAGCATGTGTTAAGTTTACAAGTTCAAAACAGATTTTAAACTAATATTGGAGGTTTTATTAAAATATTATAAAATTTAAAAATATTTATCAATATATCGTCGATTGAGAACTTTTTCTCAATCTTCTTAGGAAGCCAATGAGGCATGCACCTCATTCAAGTATATTATATGATTTTCACGAGAATCAGACACTCAATTATTTCTCAATCTTCTCATGAAGCAAATGAGGTACGCGTCTCATTTAAGTATTTCATCCGTGTTTCACAAAAAATAAACACTCATGCCTTAATAAGTGCGCATAAGACATAAAGAGGAATTGAGGCGGCAAAAACAGGTGCACGCTCAAGTTGAGGTTGTTGGCACCTCATTTTAGTTTTCAATGACTCCCTTCATCAAACAGAAAAATTTCTAACGAGTAACTTAACTAAGCCCGGTTTAGCGAAATATAAAACAAGATATGTATATATTACAGTAATTTGGTAAATCGATAACTGAAATATAATTTATTAACAAATACCATATGATAACATATTAACCCTTACAATTTTTATTAAAAAAAAAACCCTATAGCTACCCACAACCCACACTAAATGCCCAAGCCCAAATTCTTATAGGCTTATTCTATATAATCTATTTAAAGCTAACTAGAAACCCTAATCTATTTTTCACAAAACCTAAAGTGCCAACCCTCTCCCCTCTGTCTCCCTCGTTTAATTCCATCCGTCCCTTCGTCCTCAGTAGAAAGTAGAAAACGATATGGGAAAGAAAACAACACACACTGACTTTAATTCCATCGGTCTACCCCTGCTGACTTCGATCTTCTCTGTTCTCATTCTCTCTTCGGTTTTGTTATTCTTCTCCCCACTCAAAAATCGACCAAGGCAATGAGAATTCCTCTCGTTTCTTTGATCTGCCTCTTTTCCCTCGATTTGTCTGATCACTGGCCGTTAGATAGCCGAGGTAGCTCTGCCTGGAATCCTTTCTAGTCGAGCCAACCGCCTGGGTCCATCGGGTTTTGATTGGGTCGTAGCGAGTTTGACTTTTCCGGGTTATTCCTTGAGCAAGTGTCCAATGCCTTCTTTCTCCTAAGGGTCCAGGCCAACCGGGGTCAACCTGTGGGTCGACCTGCGGGTTGACAACCTTGGTGCCTAGTGAACTAGACGAGCATTAAGAAGAGAGAGACGAGGATGAACGCCAATTTTTTTTATTCATGGAGTTACTGAAAGAATAAAATGAAAGTGTACTTCTTCTCATATTCAACATCATTACAGGGCTTTGCCATTTATAGATGGCTAACATAGAGCTGTACAGATTTGAGATAGGATTTGCATAGATATGATAATAAATGTGATGGCAGGTGTATGATCTGGAAGAGATTTGAGACTTGAATGAAGGAGTGAACTCCAAATAGTGTTTGCCTGTTGTTGTCCCATTATGCCCCCGCAAGTGAAACCTCGTGGAGGTGAAACTTGGAACAAAACCGTTGAAAGGGTAGCCAAGTGAGAGGCTTTGTGAGCACATCTGCGAGTTCATCTGTAGCGGGTAGGTAACGGACATGTAGTTGATTCTTGTTCACCCGGTCTCGGACGAAATGAAATTCAATTTCCAAATGTTTGGACCGATTGTGAAAAACAGGGTTATGCACCAAATAGGTGGCCCCTAAGTTATCACACCAGAGCACCGGGGATGAAGCAAGCGGTTGACCGAGTTCGGAGAGAAGCGCATGAAGCCAAATAATCTCTGATGCCAATGTAGCCAAGGCGCGATACTCACACTCGGTCGAAGATCTGGCCACCAACTTTTGTTTCCTAGTAGACCAGGAAACTAGGTTCTGTCCGTAGAATACAGCATAGCCCGTAATTGATTTACGATATGTTGGACAGGAAGCAAAGGAGGCATCAATATCCATGAAGCTGTGGGTGAGATGAGCGCTGGAAAATGAGTCCGGTGGTGAGAGTTCCTCGAAGATAACGCATAATGCGCTTTACAGCAGACCAGTGGGCATCCGTTGGAGAGTGTTGAAACTGGGAAACATGATTGACTGCGAAGGAAATATCCGGCCTTGTGAAACTCAAGTACTGTAGACCGCCAACAATACTGCGGTATAACCCAGGATCATGAAAAATTGGAGATGTATCAGATGCACTTTGAATAAGCTGATCTGCAGTACAGGGAGTAGAGATCGCTTTTGCTTCAGACATACCAGACCGTTGCAATAATTCAAGAATGTACTTGCGTTGATGTAACATTAAACCAGTAGCAGAGTGATGGACCTCTAGTCCCAAAAAATATGAAAGTTGCCCAAGATCTCTAAGAGCAAAACGGGATCGAAGAAATGTTATGAGTTGCTGAATTGTGGAGGAATGATTGCCGGTGATCACTATATTATCCACGTAGACCAACATATATAATGTAACCTGTCCAGCTTTGTAGATGAAGAGAGATGGGTTCGTCTTCGACGCAATGAATCCAAAATCTCGAAGAGCTTGTGACAAACATCGAAACCATGCCCGGGGTGCTTGACGAAGACCATATATAGACTTTTTAAGGCGACAAACATGGTCGGGACGGTCCGGATTGATGAATCCTTGTGGTTGACGTAATTATACTTCTTCCTGTAATGTGCCGTGAAGGAAGGCATTGGAGATATCTAGCTGATGCAGCGGCCAAGAGTGTGATACAACAATGCCCAAAATAAGTCTTAAAGTTGATGGCTTGAGAACTGGACTGAAAGTTTGGCCAAAGTCATGTCCCGGAATCTGCTCAAATCTACGGGCGACAAGGCGGGCCTTGTAGCGCTCGATTGTGCCATCAGGATTAGTCTTGATAGAAAACACCCATTTGTTAGATATCAAATTGCAATCAAGTGGTGGAAGAACTAAGTCCCAAGTGTGATTTTGAATTAAAGCATCAAATTCGGAGGCCATGGCAGCTCTTCAGTGAGCAATTTTTATCGCCTGGGCAGCCGTGGTTGGAAGAGCTGTTGTAGTAGATGCTATGAAATGGCGCAGCTTTAACTTGCCGGTTTGTGAGCGAGTGGTCATGCGTTGTGGAAGAGGAGGTGGGACGGAGGTAGGAAGGATCCAGGGTGAGGGGTTAAATGGAGGTCAAGGTTGAATAGATGGTGAGGGGATTGTTGTTTGGTGGGCAGGGGTTAATGGTTTGAGTTGTGATGTGGATGGGTCAGAGATGGGTGGAGGATTGGATTCGGATGAGGAAGTGGAGGGAGACAACGTGGTGGTTGAAGTTGGGCCAAGTAAAGGTGGCCCTGGATGGGGAGATGTAGGAGGAATGGGGCCTAGAATGGATGGTTCAGAATGTGAAGTTTGAGAAAGAAGGGGGTTGGGTAAATGAATGGGGGAGCTGATATAAATTCGACTGATATAAATTCGACTTGTTGCCCGATCAAGACAACGATAACCTTTGTGTAACTTACTATAACCCAAGAAAACACAAGGAATAGAACATGGCTGAAGTTTATTAGATGTATACGGACGAAGCCACGGATAGCAAAGACAACCAATGGCACGAAGACTAAGAATATCTGGCGGCTGTTTGAACAAGACAGTGAAAGGTGAGAGATTATTTAGAAGAGGTGTGGGAGTGCGATTAATAAGATATCAGGCGGTGTCAAATGCAAGAGGCCAGTATTTGAGGGGAATTTGGGCATGATGCAACATGGCAAGACCATTGTTGACTATGTGACGGTGCTTGCGTTCAGCACACCCATTCTGCTCAGGACTATGAGGACACGAGGATCTATGAGTAATACCATGAGCTGCAAGATAAGAAGTGAGGGCTTGATATTCTCCACCCCAATCAGATTGAAAATTTTTAATGGGAAGGCCAAAATATTTTTCAACAAGCTGACGGAATTGAGTGAACACGCTTATAAGCTGAGACTTATAGCGAAGAAAATATATCCAGGTGAACTTACTGTAATGATCATAAAACAAAACATAATACGATTGTTGATCATAAGAACGAACAGGAGCGGGCCCCCAAAGATCACTACAAATAAGTTCTAAAGGAGAAGATGCACGATAAGAGGAAGTCGGAAATGGAAGTTTATGAATCTTACTAAGTGAACATCCATGACATAAAGTAGAAGATTCGGGGGAGTATTTGATCTGATGAGAAGACAAAAGGTGGCGAACAGCTCGCAAATTTGCATGACCAAGACGTTGATGCCAGAGATCAAGAGAAGCAACAAAAGCACGAGGAGAAGAACGCTGGTTGAGGTGAAGTGGAAGAGAATAAAGACCATCAACCGTAGAGCCTCGATATAATTCATGCTTCGTGTGACGGTCCTTAATAACAAAATAAGAGTAAAAAAATTCAATGGATATGGGGTTAGAACGAGTAAGAGAACTAATGGAAAGAAGATTTAGAGGGGCATTTTTTACTCGAAGTATATTATCAAGAGACAGTAAATAGTTAGACACACGAGCGGTAGAAGAGCCATAATGAGAGATGGGAAGAGAGTTACCATTGCCAAACGTGACTTGATCGGCTCCATTATACTCAGAATGGTGAGCTAGATTATCCAAGTCGGAGGTGAGATGATGATTGGCCCTAGAGTCGAGAAGCCATTGTTGAGAGGAGTGAATAGGCTGAGATGATTGGGCTAGGTACGAAGCTGGATTAGAAGAATACGTGGGGATTTGATATTTGGGGCTTGGACAATTGGGCCGGATATGACCTTTTCCCCCACAATTATGGAAGACCACAGCAGATGGGCTGGAGGGTCCAGAACCAAGAACTCCTGCAGACATATTTTTATGAGATGGATTAGAATGAACATGGAACTGGGCCGATGGAGGAGCCCATAGGTTGGTGAAGTTGGTGGGCTGACGGGCCGACTGGCCACGTCCCCTCCCTCTTGGAAACCTGCCGCCACGACCACGGAATCGGCCAGAGAAGAAGGCTGACGGAGGAGCAGCACCACCAGCGGAGGTGAGGGACTGAAATCGGCGGAGTTGAAGTTCTTCGCTGATGAGGAGGCTGCTGAGATCTTCAAACGAAATCGGCTCCAACTTTGCCTCCAAATTGCGGGTAAATGGCCGGAAATCTTCATCAAGACCGTCAAGAATCGCAGTGACAAGTTCAGCTTCTGTAATTGGGGCGCCAAGCGCGGCAAGTTGATCGAAGATGGCTTTGGCGCGTTGGAGATATTCGTGGGCTGAATCCTCGCCACGAGATATGTGATTGAGATTTCTTCGGAGCTGCCCAATGATGACCGGCGACCCGGAAGCATAAATTCGAGCCAGGGAATCCCAGGCCGCACGAGCAGTCTGCTTATTGATGATGGTTGGCATGACCGCCTCAGACAAAGAGAGGGTAATCCAGGTAAGAACCAATTGATCTCTTTAATACCATTCAGTATAGTCCGGATTTGGCTGAGCGTCAATGGTGAGCGGTGGAGCCGTGGAAGTGCCGTCGATGTGGCCGATCAAGTGATGGCAGCGTAGGAGAGGCTGTAGCTATGCCTTCCAAAGCAGATAATTGGTTGGGGTGAGTCTCACTGTCAGTTAAGGGTTGGAAGGAAGAGACAGACGAGAGGGTGTGAGGGGTTGTAGAGAGGCCGAGGGGGAGGAGGTTGTGGAAGAAGTTGACATTATAGAAGCAGAAGAGTGGAAGGAGAAGCAGAAGCAGAAGATTGGGGAAGTGGGGAACTCGTCAGAGTATACTAAGCTCTGATACCATGAAAGAATAAAATGAAAGTGTACTTCTTCTCATATTCAACATCATTACAAGGCTTTGCCATTTATAGATGGCTAACATAGAGCTGTACATATTTGAGATAGGATTTGAATAGATATGATAATAAATGTGATGGCAGGTGTATGATCTGGAAGAGATTTGAGACTTGAATGAATGAGTGAACTCCAAATAGTGTTTGCTTGTTGTTGTCCCATTAGTTACAACATCAAATTCAGAACCATATGTTCCTGGTAAGGAGGCTCGAGACTGCTGAGTCATGACAAGACCCGGAGTAGCGAAAAAACATGACAAAGGCTATGGAAAGGAACTAGAATGATGTTGAGACTAAGATGGTGCACAATATATCGGTGGATATATCTGTCGAGGCTGAGATGGTGCACGATATATCGGTGGAGACATCTGTCGAGAATGAGTCTAAAGTCCTCTGTACACTCCCCTTCTATTGCGATCAATGTTACGACTTCTGAGATAAACTGAAAGGTCTAGGTCCAACACAAACACATCGTATAGGAATCGTGTCATCCTTAATTAGGTATTCAGTGTATCCAAATCCAATAGCTGCAACTAATAACTCATAGTGTGTCCGCTCTATCTCTCTCTCTCAGCATAAGTAAGAATAATTTTTCCTTACCTCATAGCCACACGCTCTACTGTGTCAAACTGGAATAAAAAACATATCAATTAGTTATATGAAACCTCAAAGACATCAAAATAGTAAGACAATAAGGTCTCATGTAACTAACCATGGCCCATCCAATTGTGCCACACCGTGAGACACTACGTCTGGTCATCTCTCCATACCAATACATATTCTCGGAGTGTTATTGTAAAGGGTCATCATAAAGGACCATACATGCTACATACACAGCTCGTCGATCCCACAACTCGATCGTCTCTCTATATGTGAGGCACAAGTCGGCACCAAGTGGGACCCCTGGCTGATCCTGATGAAGTAACCACATAATATGATGTGAGCTATCTGGAGCCTGGGGCCATTTTGATCCATGTCAAACTGACGCAACACACAATCTGGGTGGTGCCTTACCACTACTCCAAAGCAATTCTGAGGCACTACTACTGGAAAGACCTGTGACTCCTTCAAGTTGTTTGCAAACTCTAGGGGGAGTTTGAGTAAGGGTTTGTGGTGAGGGATTTGTGAGAGATTTTAAAACTATCTCCCATTTGCAGGATTTTAATATATCATGCGTTTGAGAAGGTGAGAGTTTTCACAATTAGAGATTTTAAAAAACTGCACATGTGGATTTTTGAAATAGCTGATCACCATCAGCTATTTCACAATCCCTCATTAATTTTCTTTCTTTTCCCTAATTATCCCTTCCCTAACCCCAACTATGGACTCTCGTCCATCTCTCCCACTCCGTACCTTCCAAATTAATTACGTTCATCCCTCTGAAAATTGCAGTCCAGGAAAGCCTCGTCATCCGACGTAGTTCCCGGCCAGTAGAGAGATATCCTCCATCTGAACTCTCTCTGTATATATGGTGGCTTTGTTTGAGATTGAGAGAGGGAACTGGTAGTCCTTCACATGACTCCTTAGTGCCCTTGATCGTGCTCGGGTGCGCGATTGAACTTTAAATTTATAAAATCGAACCACACTCTCTATTCAATCCTAACTAAGCCAAGTATAACCTAGCTAGGGTTGTAATAAATTGGTTCGGTCGTATTACTTCCCCCATTGAATACCAAGATCGTTTTCTTCTTTAAGCTCTTCTTCCACCACATCAAGGCTCTCTTGTAGATCCGCTCTTTGTTGATCGGGAGCTATGATGTGTCTCCGAGCAAAGTCTTCAATTGTTTGTCCTCCGATGTCCTCTTGCTCTTCCACCGTGGAGACTTCTTCCTATTCTTCACTTTCCTCTTCATCTTCATCGTCCAAGAGGAGCACTTGTTCGAGTTTCGAACGGATTTCTTCAAGATTTTTCTGAGTGGCTTTCCACCTCTTGTCCAACTCTCGTTGTTCATTGAGGAATTTTTGGAAGGAAGGGTTGGAGGTCCCTACGGTTTCTACCTTCTCCTCTTCGACCTTTTCCTCCTCTTTGATTGGTAAGGATCGAGTGTGAGCAAGTAGTGCACATACTTGCTCAACAACCTCTCCTAGTCTCTCTGTTTTTTGGAGAGTCTCTTCCGATGCCATTAGAAGGGATGAGTCAATGGGGGTGGTTATTGAAGATTCCACATTGGAGCTAACTTCGGTGTTTTGGAAAAATTATTCTATCGAAAGCTCCAATCGACTTTTGGGCTCCGGTTGTGGAAGGAAGTCTTCGTGATATGATGTTGAAGCTTGATAATAGGGAAAACCTTCTTTATAACCATAGAAAGAGGTTGGTTCTTCACACTCGGATCCTTGGCTAGAACCACTACTAGAAGTTTCAAGATGACACCAATTCGGCGGTTGGTGATCTCTCCACTCCTCGTTACACCAATATGGATCCATAGCTACACCTAAACATTATCTATATTAAAAAAAAAAACAAGAACAACCTATGAAAGCACAAGTGTAAAAAGAAAAGAAAACAAAAATGAAATAGACACTTAACATAAGATAACTAAAGGGAACTTAACAAAAGAAAGAAAGATACGGGAAAAAAATACGAAATCACAAGCACAAAATTCAAGAAAAATGCACAAAAAATTCAATGCTAAAGAAACACAGAGCACACAAGCACAACGCCAAACTTGGCACACAACAAATTACTAAATAGTAGCTCTCAGCTTTTCCTAATAACTTAAGAACTCCCTGGCAACGGCGCCAAAAACTTGATCGTGCTCGGGTGCACGATCGAGCTTTAAATTTAGGGTTAATACCATATTTTGGCCTGAACTATGATCATATAATCAACTTTTGCCCGTGGTTTTAGAAATTAACATCCTGGCCTGAACTATGTAACATATAGACTCAATTGGCCCGACACATAGTTTGACCGTCAATTTGGATGGTCAACACGCCATGTCATTGGCTCGTCAGCCTAAAAATTATTTAAAAAATTCAAATTATTTTTCTAATTTTTATTATTTATTATCAAATTAACCAAAACTAAATTATAAAAAACATAAAATAAAATATTTATTTTTTGGGTGATTTGAAAATTAAATTTTATAAGTTAACAAAAAATTATCAACTTATTATATATTTTTATAATTACATAAAAAGTAAAATATATAATTTATATCATATTTTTAAATTTTTTAAAATTTAATTTGATATTTTTTGGTTAATTTATAAAATTTATCATTTTCTAATATCCCAAAAAACAAAATATAATTTTTATTTTATATTTTTATATTTTGGTTAATTTGAAAATGATAAATAACAGAAATAAGGAAAGTAATTTAAATTTGAAATTTTTAATGATTTTTAGGCTGATGAGGCAATGACATGACGTGTTGACTAACGGTCAATGATGTTGACCGTCCAAATCGACGGTCAAACAATGTGTCGGGCCAATTGAGTCTATATGATGCATAGTTGATGTCAGGATGTTAATTTCTGAAACCACGTGCTAAAGTTGATTATATGGTCATAGTTCGGGCCAAAATAAGGTATTAACCCTTAAATTTATAAACAAAAACCAAACTGTCTATTCAATCATAACTAAACCAAGTATAACCTAGCTAGGGTTGTAGGAAAGTGGCTCGGTCGTATGGCGAGGGATCCCTAAGTGTATTGTTACTTCGCTCTGAACTACTATCTAATCGGATGGAAGTATGGTGATGGGTTTTTGCTAAATTAACCTATTCATAAGGCAAAATAAACAATCAACCATGTGGTTGGGAGGACGCTAGAGATGAGTTGGTTTCTAGAGTCGAATCCTCCTATCTAAGGTTATGATGTAGGATTAATCGAATGTGGTGAGTGAGCTCTTTTCCGTGGGCCTTCGTCGTTATCCACACGCCCCTCCGAGTACGCCTCCCCTAAACCCATGTTTCAGTCACCTCGATCTAGGATATCGTATCTGGGCATTAAGCTTATGGCTCATTTCAATGCACACTATCCACTATCCACACCGAGGTTTCATCTAGGAAGGCTACCCATAACAGGGGTCCGGTCACCTCGACCACTATAGGCCCCCATTCATTCATCAAATATAAACTCGCCAGATGACGCATACCCGTCTAACCCTAGGATTCCTTACCTAGCGCGATATCATAAAGTAGGCTAAGAGGGAAGATTAGGGCGACTTACCCACAAGCATCATCATTTAGGAAAGAGTGGCCTTAAGAATCTACTAGACAACCTGACACGCTACGACACAACACCAAACTGCGACCAAGTGTAATCGCAGTCTGGGACTGCTACAAAGTGGCAAGTTCTGATTATCAACCCGGGGTCTAGATCTACTGCTTACTCCGTGAATATCTATTATCTAGCCAACTAAGTCGATTGATTGTGGTTTTAATTAAAAGCAGTAAGAAAGCATCAATTGATTCGGTTTTCTAAAGCAAAGGAAGAGTCACTCGGGAATGAGTCCCCCTAGATCCTTAGTTAGGTCTCAGTTGTAATTACCCTGGGTTGATTTACGGTTGATTAAACTGCGGAAGATCCGACAGTAGCTTGTAATCTCTTAAGCTGGCCACGCCCTCTCAGTCCAACTACCCGGCAGACGACTAGTCTTCACCGGGATAGAAAGCTGAAGCAATAAGCACAGAACTCCACTACTGGAATTGGGTTCCAGTACAAAGCAGTAGATTGATTAACTCTCCTATAACCAATCTACCACTATCGAATGATGAATCTCTAACAACCTAATCAGATTCTATCTATCTCAGGTTGCAGCAGAGATCAAGAAAAGATGATTAGACTTCAATTGATTCAATGAATCATGCATCATTCGATTAAAACCAAATAGTATAGCAATCCCAAGTCATTACAATCATGATCCCTAACACATGGAACAAGGGTTCTCCATACCCAAGTGAAAGAGGGTTCTACTCCATAGAGAGAGAGAGAGGAAAACAGCAAACAAAGCAGTCATACTCATAACAATGGGAAGAATCTGCTCTGGGATGATGATCTTCACTCCAAGGATGATTTCCAAGCTTGATTGATGAAACCCAGCTCCAAAACCACTCTTAGGAGGTGTTCTTCGCACTTTCTCTCTCTACGGCTCTGTTTTTGCTCTGAAAAGTTGATCCCCTATCTTTTGGCTCGAAATTGGGTTAAAACCCAGAAAATCCCCACCACACGGGCAGGCCACACGACCGTGTGGCTTTCCCAGCTGCCTGTGTGAGTGTGCAAAACGCCGCGTTTCACTTAAGTGACTTCAGGTACGCTACACGGCCATGACCACACGGCCGTGTGGATTTCCAGGCTGCCCGTGTGAGCTCCCTGGACTTTCCACACTGCCACAAGGGGTCCCTTACATGGCCAGTGTGGCTTGCCCGTGCAATTTGGTGCCAAACGGCAGGTCACACGGTCGTGTGGATTTTTAGGCGTGCCCGTGTGGCTTCCTCAACTTCTCGCCAAATGTCCAATCTTCGTCCAATCGACCCCGAACTCGTTCGCAAACCTTCATTCACGTACTAGGACCTGAAATATCACAAACAAGAACAACCTAGCGTGAAATCGGCCTAAAACACGAGAAATAAGACTCAAACGTTACAAGAATGGTGGACAAAAACATGTGTATATATCAAGTCATCACAAACACATTCATTCAATACCCAACTATTCACAACCTATAACTAGGGTTCATCTATCCTAAACAACCATTAGAGATTCAAGTCATTAGAGAGAAGAAGAAAATACAAACTAGAAGAGAGGAATGACGGAATCAAGCTTCTCCTCCTTGCTTGCACCTCCTCCTTGCTACTTGGGTTGATTGAATCTTTAATGAAGATCTCCCAAAGTGTTTCTCTCTCTAAAGCACTCCAAAACCCTAATTTTCTCACCCAAGGCGGCTCTCCTTTGTCAAGTGCAGAAAAGGGAGTATATATAGGCAGATGGTGCCGATCATGACCTTGAGGGCATGACCTGATGGTCACGGACGTGACCTGCTGGAACGTCCTCGTGTCGCCCGAAACGTTGTGTTTTGACTTTGTCTTTAAATGCTTAGATCGTGGCCTCCTCCATAAGATCTCGACCGCGATCTTTTTTCCCCGGCAATGATCTTTTTCCACAGTCAAAATACGCCTTGCCTGCGATTCGATTGGGGAAACCCTTTGTCTCCTCCTTGGTCGCCTTCTCTAGTTTGTGGCCACTATGCGCGGCCGCGATCTTCAGCCGGCGAACATTGTCATGGCCTCATGGTCACAGCCCGTGACGTGTGGTCGTGACATCCGCCTTTACCTTCCTTCTTGCTCCTATGCTTTCCAATCATGCCCGGATGAACTCCATTAGATTCTCGATCAATCCCAAAAGTATAAGAGACCTAGAATTTCATCACAAACTCTCGGAGAAGCATAAAATACAACAAATTGGGGTTGATTCCCCCATGAAAACCTTCATAACAAGAATACCTATGCCAAAATGAATATGTTGCAAATAAGAACGAAAATGGGCATAAATAGCTTGACATGTGGCCCAGAAACGGTGATTTAGCATGAAAATGCCTTGAGAGTAGAGGCTAGATAACACCTATTTTAGGTGTTATCAGCCCTATGTTTCTTCCCATCTCTAGCAGCTCCAAATTCCAATTTTCATCATCTTCGCCGTTGAGGAAGGGGAATGGGCAAGGGCTTTAGTTTCCTTTGTCTGCCACTTCTGTTGCTCTAAGATAGGCCCGAATGTTCAGTTTTTCAATTTTCGGTTGTAGGGGTAGCAAGGTTAATGATTTCTGGGTTAGCGACATTAGGGAAGGGGAATGAGCAGGCGCCTGAGTAACTAGCATTCATGTTTGTCTATCCAATGTTTCTAGTGATGAAAATTGATGTCACCCCCACACAACTATCAGGTTGGTCCACCCTCCAACCTCACCTCCTAGAGTGGCCGAAGATGTCATCCGCAAAGTTGTTCTTCCCATGTCCCTATCTAAGAAGACTAATACATCCGCTCTCCATGCATACTCTCCAGCACGTGCCTAATCCTCTAGGAGTAAGCCATACATAAGGTGCATCTCAGCTCTAGAGTGATCATGACACATGAACCCTCCTAGAAGTAGCATTGTACATGCTCGTGCATACTGAATCTTTATCTCGTCTGAGGCATCATGTAGAATTTTGAAATGCACCGCTAAGCCAATTGTAGTTCGCTCGTCCATTCGCAAACTCTATTGCATACTCTTAAGAAGGAACATTCCCAAGTAGGCTCCTCTGTATTTCCACCCATGATGTCTTCGGTATATCCATTATCACAACCTTCCCATCACTTGATAATCCTGTAAGAACTGTTATGTCCTCCAGTGCAATGGTCTTGCCACATGGAACGTCTCCCGTCGCCGGTGCTCCACTAGTGCCATGATCAAATCAATATCATCATGTAATGGCGCCAAGCCTAATAAAACTAAGGAACCCACCAGATCGGAGGTATGGTTCATAATCCTCATGATACATCCCAAAATGGACATACCCCGAGTCTTACATGGATAAACCGAAGCCTACATTTCGATTATAGTATTAGTTTATGCTAGTACTAATTAATCATGCTAGTCCGCCATTCTAAAGTACTAAAAATCATGCTAACTAATCATGTTGTTACTAACCTATATAAATTCATACTAGTTTAATAATCCAAAGAATGACCTATTGTTTCGATTGACAATGAATTATTGTGGCTGGATGGGGATCATCGAGCGAATTTAGCTTGGTCGAAGCATCTTGACTATATATAGTAGGAGTTGTAATTAAAAAAATTGGTCGCGACTAGAAATATCTCCGGAGAGTCGCTTAAATGGGGGAGGGGTGTTGAATATATATGTGAGTGGCGAGTGAATGCAAATGTGATGAATTTGCTTTATATTGAATGCTTTTGGAGCCTTGTTATTGCCAAATTCCAACAATTTTTGGGCTCCAAGCACTTGTGGATGAATGATTGAATGTTGGCCTACATTATGAATGTTTTGGAACCTAGGTTGAATGCTCAAAATTTAAAATCTTAGTGGTTCCAAACACATTTTCCCATGCATGATTCCTACTCACTATACTTTGAAAAGTTTGATGTCGTGATGGCATGCATTATAGGGAGTAGTGTAGTGCTACGAAGGTATTGGTCATGGGTGACTTTACTTCCATCTCCTTTTGGTTGTGTTGATTTTGTTTGCTATCAAGGTTAGGACATGTGTGTGGGACCCTCCCCAATTATGCACTCCAAAAAGTTTTCCAAAAAGGTGCTCCATTATGAAAAATGTTTTGAAAATGAGTGTTCTCACGCAAGAGGCAACCAATTATCGTGTTTAAGTTAAGCCATCAAAGGGCTTATCTTTTGGACCGTAGTGCCATTTAAGGATGTGTATGGGGATCAAATAGTTTTTTAGCATCTAACCATCATCATTTTCTACCTTCCATACCCCTTACACTTCTTCTCCTCACGAGACGTGAAGGAGAGGAGATAGTGTGCCTCTGCACCAGTGGGGAGACCTTGGTTCTCGTTATCACCTCACATGTGTGGCAATCGGTCTGTCGTTGAGACGAGAGTGCAGGTTGTGAACTGGTGTTTGAGAGATTAGAAATCACGTCCAAACGCTTCAATTTCCTACCCTATTCCATCCTCTCAACCATCACGTTCCCCGCATGAGGCTACGAAAGAGAAGTCAATGTATTTTTGCTCTTATCCACGAGGGAGAGAACCTTGTTTAGAAAATTTGGTGCCATGTTCGACAAAGTCAAGTTGAGGCTCGAGAGTTTGAGTCCGCTTTCGAAAAAAAGGAGCACTACCATAGAGTCCATCGCTTTTCACATGTTTTCTTGAGAGTCCCCCTGGTGCACACGTGAAGTGTCTAGACCAATTTAGTTGGCAACGTCCTTATCCAAGTGTGTGTTGTCACATAGAGATGGAAGTAATATTTCTTGTCTTCAATTGTCTTTGAAAATGCTACCAACAACCTATAGTGTATACCATTTTGAATTTATTTCATGTTGCACGAGTGTGAGTGACGTTTGCTTGGGGATAAGCAAATGACTAAATGTGGGGAGTTTGATCCGAGCCATTATATACATGTTTTTACCCCTTAGAATTTGTCGTTTGACTTGAATAACATCATCCTTGGATTTATTTTATGCTAGGTTTTAGAATGTTTTAGTATGTTTCAGGTTATAGCAGGTGAAATGGGAGAAAGGATCGAAAGAGTCAAAATGAAGCTAAAATGGGACAAAAAGCTGGAAATTGCATGGATAATGCTTCATGGAAAATTGTCACTTGCAGGAGACCGTGAAGATTATAGCAAAACTATGAAGAAGGAAAAGTCCCAGGAGCTTTTGGATGTCTCGCGGGCAGTGCATGGATCACGGACATAGGCGCGAAGAATATAACTAAACCATGCAGTGTGTAAGTGAAACAATGCATTTTGCATTGAGATCACGGTTTCACTACACACATCACGGGCGTGACGGCAGACCATGTATCGTGCACTTTTGAGTATAAAAGAAGAAAGAGATCAGATTTCAAAGGGAGAAGAGTTTTAGAGTGAGATTTGGTTCTTATTCTACATTCTTGAGAGAGAAAGCGACGAACCAAGTAAGATTGGAGAGGAATCTGACCTACCCAAGACCAAAGAAGGCCAGATTTCATCTTCAACACTATCCCAAGAAACTATCACTACAAAAAAGACAGTCAGCTATAACCAGACGATTAACGTAGGAAAAGACCTTTTGTGACAAAATATGGTTGTTATTCGTCATGTGAAAAATTCCCATGGGAAAATGTCAAAAAAGTAAGGACATTAGGAAAAACTTTTTTGTGACGAATATGTGTTCGTCGCTAACTATTAACCAAAGTATCGTTGTCAGAAATAACTTATACGTGACACTGAAATCTAACGAAGTTTATTTGTGAGGCATAAAGGTTTTTATATTTACTAAGAAATGTCGTTAGAGATAAATAAATTTGTTCCCAAAATACCCTTTCACTTTTTTTGACGATAATTCCTCGTAGAAAAAATGTGAAATTGGAATTAAAATTTCAATTTCGGAAATACCCTTTGATTATTTCTGACAAGGGTGTGACGTCGGCAAAATCAATTCCTCGGTATTAAAATTATTTATGATGGAACGCATTTCGTTAAGAATAAGGAATTTCTCTTCCCAAAATATCCTTTTTATTTTTTTCTATGGCAGTGTGGCATAAAAAATCTTTGTTAAAATGGGTAAAAATTTCATTACCAAAAATACCCTTTGATTCTTTTCGACGAAGTGGAACGTAAGTAATAAAATATTTGTTGGCTGTAACATTAATTATATTATATAAAATTTTAATATAGGCATAGGTTGCTACTACTGCTTACGCCTACGTCGCCGTCACCGTCGAATCCCTGGTTTTGGCTCGCCATCACGAGCCAGTGGCCGGCTGCCCTCTTCTGTTTCCTCTTCAAAACTTATCAAAAAGCAAAATCAACAAACAAAACTCACATGGATTAGATCCAAACTCCAAATCCTAGATTAATCCGTAAAATGAAAGAAAAACCAATTGGATGGATATATTGGCCTCCCAACCGTAGTCGTCGATGATTTAGATCTCGAACCTCGCCATCATCGAGTCCAAGTTCTCCACCCTTTCTTAGCTAAAATCGATCTGAAAGAAGGATGAGGATGGCGTTAGAAATTGAAATAAAAAAGTATCGGAGATCCTCAGTTACGGATCGGGAAGGGACAAAGGCAGACGAACAGCGACACCAGTTTGAGGGAAACGTACCTTTTTTGGATATGCAAGGGGAAACGACCACGCTCCTTCAAGCTCTTCTCATCGAGACAATCTCTTCCCCGCTCTCCAACAAATCGACATGCTAGAGGAAAAAGCCACAAGTTGGGAAACAAATCAAACTCCAACAGCTGTTATGTTAGACTGGTCGATGGTGGCTTATCGTTGTACTAAGGCCTTGAGGTGAAGAGGCGGGCATGGATCTGAAGCGATAGGAAGGGGAGATTTTATTCTTTTTGGATATGAAGCATCGGTATACAGAGAAGAGAGGGATGAGAGAAGAGAAGAGAGGGCGGAGCGAATTAGAGAGAGGTAGGAGGTTAGAGAGTAGACAATAATAAGGTGGCTAGGGTTGTTAAAGGAAGTCTTATAGGCCGACTAATTTCCACAAGGCCCCAATGTTTGAAGTCTTGGTGAGTTTCCCTCCATAAAATTTGAGAAATTTTGTTAGGGGAAAACTGAGGAAATAAGGGAGAAAATTTCCTCCATAAAATTTGTCTAAGTATGCATCATTGTATTATTTACCCTAACTAAATCCACTAGTTAAGGGTAATTCAAAACCAAGAAAGTAAAGGATAAAAACAGGCCAACAACAGAGAAAATGAAGCGTATAAGCCTATAGGTGTTGAGGTTGTACCTATACAAACTCCAAGTCATAGCAACAACAAATAATAATGATATTAAGGAAGACAATGTATAGAGGGTAGAGGTTGAGGTGCCTATAGGTGTTGAATTAAGTCCTTTTTGGGTTACAATTATGATAATAAAATATGATTATATTAATAGTCAAATTGAGCTTGTACATATACCGTAATGATCAAATTGAACTTGTACATATACCTTATGGTAAAGGTTCAATTAAACTTGTACGTATACCTTAATGGTCAAATTGAACTTGTACCTATACACTAATGGTCAACTTGAGTTTGTACATATACCTTAATGGTCAAACTGAACTTGTACATATACCTTATGGTAAATGTTCAATTAAACTTGTACGTATACCTTAATGGTCATATTGAACTTGTACCTTACACGGATAAAATACCTCGGTGCCACTTAAGTTTGAGAATTGGGGTAGACATACCACTTAAGTTTGAATAGGGTGTCGGGTGCCATTAAAGTTACCAAAATGTGTACATCCGTCTACTTTTCCATCCAACCCAAACTTTTAATTACTTTTTGATGCCCAAAACTTTAAAAAAACATCCAAACTATAATTCAACAAGTTTTTATCTAATATAATAATTAGAAAACCTTTTAAACATATTATTACTAGAATGACTAATCAAATATTTTTCAATAAAATAGATAAATAGTGACTCACTTCTACTGTCACTCTAGGAATTGGCCAAGTGAAACCACTTCCTAAAGTGTAGTATAGCGGGTTTGGGTTTAAATGTCAACCCGGGTCCTAGATTTGATGTCTACTCGGTGAATTCTTGTTATCTAGCAATGAAACTTTAATGCAAGTCTAAACTATCAAACAAACAAAGCAACTAAACGGTTATATTCAGGTTAAGAGAGGTCACCCGGATATGGTTCCCCCTAGACTGCAGTTAAGCCGGATTGCAATTACCAAGTTCAGTTTCTATGATAGTTATACTGCGGAAGGTTCTTAAGCAGCCTGAAGTCTCGACTAAAGGTCTTCAGACCCTCTCAATCTGAGTCTCTAGCGGGCGACTAACCTCCACCGGAGTAAACAGATTGAGGTCCTAACGAACAAAACCTCCACTACCGAAGTGAATTCGGTACAGAATAGTGAGTTGGCTCCTCGACTAAAGTCACCAACTCCCTACCTTCAATCAAGGATGCTCTATCAACCTAGGCAGATATTCTCATTCTAGGTTAAAGCAGAAACAACAGGAATTTGATCAGGATTCATGCCATTCAATCATTCAAACCTCAATTGAATATAATCAAATCATAGAATCAGTACTTGGGTTCATACAATCAAACCTAACATACAAATCTAGGGTTCTCCATACCCAGATGAATGGGAGAACTACTCCATGGAGAAAGAAGCAAAAGCATAATCAGACGCGGAATTCATACTGTGAAAGATGGATTCCTGCTCCTGGACGTTGATCGGCACTTCTCCAAGATGGATTCCTGCTCAATGGTGATGAAGATCAAGCTAGAGCACTTGGGAACTCTTGTTCGTCGCTTTCTCTCTCTAGGAATCGCTCTGTCTCTCTAAAACTCGAATTCCCCCGACTTGTGGCTGGAAATTGGCTTAAAACCAGAAAATCCCGACTCACACGGGCAGGCCGCACGGCCGTGTGGCCCACCCTGTTGCCCGTGTGGCTCCAAACGCTGCGTATCGATTAGTTAAATTCCAGGCTTCTTACACGGCCAGGGTCACACGACCGTGTAGCTCACCCAGCCTGGCCGTGTGAAGCCTCGCAGAATTCCACACGGCCAAAATGCATCCTCACACGGCCGTGTGGAATTTCTGCTCTGCCCGTGTTTGCTCTCGCACAATCCCACACGGCCAAACTGGTCACTTGCATGGTCGTGTGGGTTGTGGGTGTGCCCGTGTGGCGTCCTTTGTGACTTGCCTCGCGCCCGATCTTCGCCCAATCGACCCCGAACTCGCTCCTAAACCTTCATTCACTTTCCAGGACCTGAAATATCACAAACAAGCACAACCTAGCGTGAAATCGGTCTAAAACACGAGAAACCACATCTCAAATGGTGTAAGAACAGGGGTGAAAACATGTGTAATTAACGGTCTATCAAATAGTAAAATTAGTAAACGAATATCAAGAAGAATAATAAATATGCTAGAATATAATAATAAATATTTAAAATAAATATTAGAATATCTATTTAAACCCATTAAATCAATTAGAAGCACCATTAGAAATAGTTAAAATAGTTTCACCAAAACAAAATAGTTAAAATAGAACCTAATCGATTATCAATACATCAAAATAAAAATAAAAAGGATAAACGGAAGTTGGAACACAATCAGAAAGAATTAAACATATTTCACTAATTGAAAAAATTTAGAACGAAAAGAGATGAAAAGTAACCAAGTAATAAACAAAATATAAAAGCTACAACATTCGGTAAAAAATATAGAAAAGAAAATATATGACTATAAAATCTACAACATTTATGGAATAATTCAATTATTAGAACACATAATGAAATTGAAAATAATTATAATGATAATTGATTCTAAAATTTATATTGAAATATTGGTTTGGTATTAAGTATTGAAAAGAGGAATCTAACTAAACAATAAAAAATGATATTTGTCATAAGTCCAAATGTTTTTTTACAATAAGAAAAGTAGAAGAACCAATTATGAAATTTAGAAACGGAATATTCCAATAATATTCTTTCAACTTTGACGGAATGCACTTAACAGTAAACTTAAGTGGTACCGGGCGCACATATAATAAAGTTCAGTGGTACCCGACGCCCTATTCAAACTTAAGTGGTATGCCTACCCCAATTCTCAAACTTAAGTGGCACCCAAGGTATTTTACCCTACCTTACACTAATGGTCAGATTGAGCTTGTACATATGAACTTCTGCATATACCTTATGGTAATGTTCAATTAAACTTGTACACAAAGCAGCCAAAATCGGGATTTTAAGTAAAATAAAAAATGGGGGTAAAATCGGAATCGTAAAATCGAATCTTTAAATCGTAGGATTTTAAGGTCCATATAAAAATGAAGACAAAATAATATTACTAAGAAAAATCATGAATAACACAAAAGCACATAACACTTACAATGATATTTTTTCAAGGTTAATGTTCCAATTTATCAAGGTTAATGTTAAGAGGTGGTGAATCGATGATGATTAATACGTTGATATGAATTGATTATAGTCGATGGTAGTTAGTGTGAGAGAACTAGATGATGTTGGTGGAGGAGAAGAAAAAGAGGCGTAATTTTGCAAATTCTGGGGAAAATAAGTAAAATTGACTCATTGATTTGAATCGTAAAACGTAAGATTTTAAAGATTTAAGAATTTAAATCGTGAATAGTGTAGGATTTTAAGGTCCATATATTTTATAGTGAAATCATAATCGGAATAGGTAAGTAAAATCGTAAAAGCATAGGATTTTAGAATTTAAATCGCGATTTTGACTACTCTGCTTGTATGCATACCTTAATTATCAAATTGAACTTGTACCTATACACTAATGGTCAGATTGACCTTGTACATATACCTTAATGGTTAAATTGAACTTCTACATATACCTTGTGGTAAAGGTTCAATTAAACTTGTGTAAAGTAAAAGGTGGTGCCCAATGAAGTTAAAAAGTGACGCTTTATTAAGTTAAAAAGTGTTGGCATTATTTTTTGTTACAGGTATTGTGAATAAATTTCGTTTGGCGCTTGATTGTTTAAATATATTTAAATTAATAATAATTTAACAAGAACCTAAGAGCAATTAAGCTAATGTGAGGGTACTTCTCATGTTAAAGATAAAATAGTGTGAGTAAGTCATTAAACTCTAGTTAAACTAATTAAATATGAACATAGATAAAGTTTTAACATAAAATTAATGTATCATAATTGGTTAAGTAGATTGTTTTTCATGTAAAGGACAAATGTTCAATTCTTAGTAAGGGAGAAAACATCTATTTTAATGAGAAGAATAAAATGCGAAAAAGGTGCAAAAATGGACGGTTGGGGTTAGCCGGATGAACCAGTCAGTCCGGGCTGGTTATAATAACATTGAAAAATCTTATATCTTATTTTAAACGTTAGTAAAATAGTAACGGTAGCATGAAAGATTACAAAAAATAAGATAGTTTAATTGGTGTGAAATCCACTTCTTAACATTAAGATGGCTGGTTCAATCCACCTTGATGAGATTTTTTAATTTTTCCTTTACTCAATAATATACTAATTCTGAATTTCTGATACATGAGTAAATTAGTAAATAGTAGCACAAATATGAAAGTTCACAATTAGTAAGATTGTGCAACTGATGTGTGCTCAACATTGTGAACTCATGGTTAATGGTTCAATCCTCCAAAAGAACAAGATTTTTTTTGTACATTGTACATTATTTCCAATCGAATTATGGTTTTCGTCAGAAAAGCTCACCGCTAAAATGTTATTTCCGAAGACGAATAGTTTGGTCATAAAAACATATATCTTATCTCCCACAAATGTATATTTCTCGTCAAAAATATTGTGGTAATTATGACGATTCCGTTGATGCATTGCAATGTAAATTTATTACGATCAACTTTTTTCGGCGACAAGTAATTGATGGTCAAAAAATTTGTAGTTTTTCTGATGGAGCAAGTTATGCCTCACAAATAATATCATTTCCAACGAAACATTTCTCACAATGGAGACGGTTCGTAAA